TTGAAACCAAACAGCATGGCACCCAGGTACAAGCACTGGCCTGTGTCACAAGACACAAAATCTGCTCCCATCCTTGCCTCTAACTATGACCATCACAATTGGAAATCCTCTGTTTCTTTATAGAAGGCTTTGTAATTTACAAAGTACTCCTGGAGTTTACCTTGGCAAAATCTACCAGTTGAGCAAGGTATCTCTGTGGGGCCATTCTATCCTCCACATAGGACTGACAGTCACTTGATGCTCAGGCTGAATGTCAGCATTACCTGGTCTGAAAGCCGACTTGCTGCTTGTTCGATTTCTGCCCTGGCAGCAATGGACTGTCCACACCACGGGGCATAGAAGAACAGCAGTATCACCTCTGAATCGTGGCGAATATTCTCTGCATAGTCCAGCTGGCCCTGGAAGAGGTCAAGGACTGGCGACCTCGAGGAGAAAAAGCTGACAGGTGGCTTGGCTGGTATTATCACATCTTTTGCTCGACTAAAATAAAAGCAAACACAAGCAAGATTGCTAAGTTTATCTTCTTCTAACAACATTTTTGTGTGGAAGGAGAATGAAGCTTAAAAGGAAAGGTCTCTTTTGAATAAGAAAATGAATTCTCAAATCACTATCCTGGAGTAAAAATATTCTGTGCTAAGGCAACATCTGGCTGAGCAAATGCAAGACATGAATAATATGCTGGAAAGGATTCTCTAAGATTCTGTCCCCCCAGGTGTGGGCTGGGAGGGCAGTGAAGGGCAGAGGATGACGTCCTTGAATAATTCATATTCTTGCCTTCCACACCCCAAAGACTTCATCCTCATCTTTCTACAGCTTTTCTACATCTTCATAGGAGCCACTGATCTCCAGGACTTTAGAGCCACTAGCACATGAACTCAGAATTATGGGGAGGACACATACATGCTACCACTAGTACGATTTCTATGGGAGATACTTACAATCAATTCAACTTTGAGAAAACATTAGTTTATTATCTGGTGTTGACCTGTACTTACCCAGGGCATTCAGGCAAAAGTAACAATTAAACAATAATCTACATTTCTCCAGATACATATCACAATCCTAAAGGTAATAAAGAGGAGTCATAAAGCAACAGCCTATTTAAGTAATAAACAGGCTTTTCAAATACTTAAGTTTCTCAGAAGAGAGGGGTCAGGAGGAGGGGAAAAAAAAACACAGAACAAGTGTTCAGAAGTTACAAAGCTGCCACTGCTTTCCCCATCAAGACAAAAGAGATGTGGCGGAGGCTGCATCCCATCAAGTTAAAGGGGCCAAGTGAACATCTTGAGCTGTCCACATATCTGCACTAACATGGCATGAAACCTTTATTGCAGTTTTGCTAAGAAACAAAAAGAGAATACAAAAATGGAAACCTAAAACAATACTACATTAACCCAAAAGGCAGGAAAGGACCAAGAGAGGAACAAAACCCAGAAGATACAAATGGAAAACAAGTAGCAAGAAGGTAGATTTAAACCCAACCACATCAATAATTACATTAAATATAAAAGGACTAAACAACCCAATTAAGAGGAAGAGACTGCCAGATAGGATAAAGCAAGACCTAATTACATGCTATCTAAAAGAGATATATTTTAAATATAAAGACATAGGATAAAAGCATAAGGATGGGAAAAGATAAACCATGTAAACAGTAAGCATAAAAAAGCTCACATGACTTATCAGGTAAAAGGTAAGAACATACCCCAGTTTACTTAAATCCTATTCCGTAATTTAATAAAAACCCGCTCATATATCCTATAACTTGGATGAGTCTCAAAATAATTGTGCTGAGTGAAAAAAAACCAGGCACTAAAGAGTACATACAACATGACTGTATCTATATAAAATACCAAAATAGGCTAAAGTGTTAAAAGGTGCAAATCACCTATTTGTTCACTCGAACTAACATTTTAACCTCACTGTCACAGAGCTTTCAGTCTACACAGAAAACCTTCAAAACCTAAGAAACTCAATCACTTATACAATTACTCAAAAATCTTTACTGAGCAACTATTACTGTGCTTCGAGCATCAGTACTGAGGTTATAGCAGCTAGTACTGTATCTGTCAAGGAGCTTACCTTTCTAGGAGAGGAAGACAGGAAAACAACCCAACATGTAAGCAATAAAAATATACAAAATGATCACTACTATGTGGAAAATTTAACAAGGTGATTTGACAGAGGGACACAGTAACTCCTCTGATGGGGTGGTTGGGGTGGTACCATTTAAGCTGAGACCTGAATGACAAGAAGACAGCCATGAAAAGAGGTGGGGAAGTCCCTGTGGCAAAAACGTGACACATTTTCAAAAGATCCAAAATTCTGCTCTTTAGAGGAATTATTTTTCTACCATTCAAATTGTTTGTTAAGTATCGAATAATGCAATCTGAAGAAAACGTAGGTCTCTAACAGCCAAAGAAAAGATAATCATCAACTTAGTATTTTTGCTCTGCATGTTCAGAGGAGTTCCTAAAATAAATGAGCCAGATAAAATACAAGGCAAATCAAAAATCAAACATTAGCCAAGAAAGAGAAACACTTGCCTCTGCTCCATCAGAACGATTCATGAGTTTCCATTTAACTTTTCGATTTGCTTCACGTTTATGAGAAACTATACCTATATCAAAGATTTTCTGAAGTCTAAGTGTAGCACAAAAAACTCAAGAGTTGGGTACAAATAAGAGCTGTTGTTGCTGGGCACAGTGGCACACATCTATAGTCCCAGCTATTTGGGAGGCTGGGGCAGGTGAATGGCTTGAGCCCAGGAGTTCAAGGCTATAGTGTGCTATGACCGTGCTTGTGAATAGCCAGACCCTATCTCTTTAAAAATAAATAAATAAATAAATAAAAATTTTAAAAGGCCAGACTAGGCACAGTGGCTTAAGTGCTTATACCCGTAATGACAGCACTTTGGGAGGCTGAGGTGGGAGGATTGCTTGAGCCCAGGAGTTCAAGACTAGCCTGGGCAACGTAACAAGACCCCATCTCTAAAAAAAAAAAAAATTTTTTTTTTTAATTAGCCAGGCATGGTATAGCTCTAGCTCCCAGGACGCTGAGATAGGAGGATCACTTGAGCCCAGGAGTTCAAGGTTACAGTGAACTATGACCACACCACTGCACTCCAGCCTGGGCAACAGGGCGACAGAGACCCTGTCTTTAAAAAAAAAAAAAAAGCCTGTCAAAACCTCAATTTTTACATGAAATTCATACCCTATACCACTTCTTTCCAAAAAGGATCTGAAGCAGCTTTGAAATTACAAAATGTAATCACGGAAAATAGATATATGTACACATATACATGTATTTATACGCAATTTTTTACTCCAGTCAGGGTAAAAGGAAAGCAAGTAGGATGAAGTCATAGAGCTATAATACACAAACATGCAGGTAGGTAGAGATTAAATGTCCCAAAATGCACAATTATTAACTGTGGCTCAATCCCTAATCAATCCTTTCTATACTGTCTGTTTTGAATTCAGCTAAGCATCAGACACTGAAGAGGGCAGTCACTTCTTCAGACCTGAAGCTATTAATAAAGACTAAATTTTAAAAAAATCCTAGTCTCCCTTAAGCCTATATTCTCATTAAAGCAAAGATCTTAAACTAAAATAGGAAAAGGGGGACAGAAAGGTTAGAGTCAGTTACATAACGATAAAATAGTATCATGACACCATTCGATCAAAGATGACTCTAAAGAAATTAATCCAAGTCTATTAAAGACTGTCAAATTTACCAATGACACAAAAGGAGATGAACAAGCAGCCATTCACCAGTTCACTCTCTTTGCCTGAAGCAGGGAAGGATCTTGTTCTGCTAGCTCTAGTAAGTGGATTTACTTCCTGAAATCTCAAAGGAACTTCACATCTATTAAGTCATGTTGTTCTGGAACAAATACAAAGCATTATTTCTATAGATGGACAAAACGATGTAAATAAACGCCACACCCTTGGAGAGGGGAAACCTCTCTTTCTAATTTGAACCCAAATGTCACCTTGCAACATTCTACCTTGTAAAATACTTTGTATGTTTTCCTTGTTGGAGACAATAATAAAGAGCAAAGAGTCTAGTTTCTGACAATAAAGGATTCGAATTCCAGCTTAGCCACTAAATACGTGGGTGTGATTTGGGGCAGGTTTTGTAACATGACCAAGGCTCAACTCCTTCATCTGTAAATTGGGAAAGTAACTGTATCCAGACTTTACTGGGGATTGTGAGATTTAAATGAAATCCACACTAGGCTCTCAAGTACGTGTTAAGTGAATAAATGCATTCAATGTAAACAGTAATTCCCAAGCAGGCAATTTTGCCCCCCAGAGTCTGGCAATGCCTGAACATATTTTTGGTTGTTATATCTGGGGGTATATGCTACTGGCATCTACTGAGTAGAGGCCAGAGATGCTGCCAAACATCCTACAATACACAGGATGTCGCCCACAAAAAAGAATTATCTGGCCCAAAATAAAGAAAACTTGCTGGTAGTACAGTACCTGGTACATGGCAAAAGCTCAGTAAGAATTATGATAATTTGTTTTCTACTAAAATCCCCAATCCTTTTACACCTCTTTGATAATAGGGGCCACATATTGTGCTGAATAAACTCAAAAATGTTTTGAGTTGAAATCTTCCCCTTGGCTAGTATTCCAAGACGATGTCATGGATACCACGTTAGCAACACATATTTTATAAATTGGGGTGTACAAAAGGTACACAGTGGATTTGAGAGACCAGAAACACACCTGAAATATAAAACAAATTTCGTATCTATGTACATTCCTGAAAAGAGGCACATTAGTTTTTATTGTTCCTGCTCACTATGCTCCAGCCTACTCAGGTCTTTTTTCCAATTTTTTCCAAGAAAATACTAAGCATGTCCAGCCTCAGAACCTTTGCACTTGGCTGTTCCCTCTACCTTGGACACACTTCCCCCAGATCTTCCCAGTGCTGGCCGCTTCCTCTTCTAGTGTGAGTTTCAAATGTCACTGCCTTAGGAAGGTGTTTCTGTCCCACCCTCATCGCTTCTTTCCCTGCATAGCCCTTACTTCAGCGCTTTCTGTCTGTCCCAGCCACTTGGAATATCCACTCAAGGGAGCAGAGACTTTTGTCTTCATCGTTCACCTGGACGAGTGCTCAGCACATAGTAGGTGCCGGTAAATAATTCTCAAAAAGGTCTGGGACTCTCAAACGGTTGTGGATCACTATAGTGGAAACTTAAGAGAAATGAAACAGATGAGAAAGGAGGGTCCTACAGTCTGGGCAGAAGTGACAGGTAGAGCCCTAGAGACCCCAACTGGCGAGGAGGCTCTCAGAACCCCGGCCCACCTCCCTCGGTGCAGAACCCGGATAAAGGGGCGCCAGGAAGCACCCGGAAACCGCGCCATATGGTCGGCGAGCTGGCCGGCCAGAGGGAGCCACAGCCCAAGCTCAGGAGGGTCAGCCGTTCCCGACAAGGGCAGGCCTGACCTCCCCTGCGAAGGCCGCCACACCCCCGACCCTGAAGACCCCCAGCCGGCCACGCGGAGGAAGCGCCGGCCGGAGACCCGGCGTCCGGGCCGCCTCACCTGCAGGTGAACTTGAGGGCGAGGAGCAGCGCGCAGCCGAGCGCCACGGCCCCGCAGAGCAGCTCCGGCCGCCGGCGCGCCATGAGGGAGGCGCCGCGCAGCCCGCGGAGGAGCCGGCCCGCCGAGGATGCTCCGGCCGGGGCCGGGCTGAGGGAGTCGGAGCCCGCGGGGCCGCCGCCGCCCCCACCCTCGTCCTCGGCGTCGTCGCTGCTGCTGCTGCCGCCGCCGCGGCCTCCGCATTCCGACATTACATGCTCCCCGTCGCCGGCTTTATACTGTCGCCGCCGCCGCCGCCTTGGGCCCAAGGGCCCGGCCCGGCCCGGCGCTCCCCAATCTCGCAGCTCGCCGCGGCCGCTAACCCGGACCCTCCACGTCAGCCGTGCCGCCGTCGCGGCGCCCGCCCCCGAGCACGCGGCCCCGCCCCTGCCCACGGAGTCTGCGCGAACGGCGACACGGTCCCCCGCGGTCCCGCCCCTCCAGGCCACGCCCCGCATCCACGGAGTCTGCGCGTATGCTCTCACCGCCCGCAGCTCCGCCTTCTTCCCGCAGGCCCCGCCCCCCTCCACGGAGTCTGCGCTAGACTTGCTTGCGGGGGCGAATAGAGCGTTGGCACGTGGACCCGGGCAGTCCCCGCTGGCGTCCCTGGGTTTTACAAGCGGTGACGATAACAGCAGTCGTGTCCACTACTGTCACTACAGTCTCTGGAGGACGTAGGTGCCGTTTTTTTAAATTTCCGCATAACGGAAGGAAAAAATTACGTGCAGAGGCGAGAAATGACCAAGGACCCAGGAGTGAGGCAGGAGAGGTCGCTCGAGCTTTCTGCGCCTCGGCTTACACATCTGTAAACTGGGAGTGATGGCAGCACCTTTCTCACAGGCTTGTTTTTGAAGATTAAATGAAGGGATTGATGGCAAGTGCCAGACCCCATAGTAAGTGCTCAACAAATCTTAGTTTCTGCTGAGTCCCACCGTCAACGACTTGCATCGCTCGAGTGCTGTGTGGCCAGGCACTATCTCCCTGCATGCACCACAGCCCTAGGCGGAGGGTCTGTGCTGCACGTACTCACTTTATAGATGGGGAACCTGAGGCTCGGGGAAGTCACCCGACCAGGTCACAAAACTACTAAGCCAGAAATTCAGACTCAAAGGCGGGCCGCCATGGCTAAGAAGCCCCTCCAGCGACCCACTGCGCTGTGCACCCCAGTGTCTCGGTGGCTCTTTTTATGGGCACAAGTCAAGGTTGTAGCACTTGCTGTTTAGGAAATAAAAGTTCGCCAGGTTTGAGACTTGCGGGCTCCTGGGGACACTGGGGAGACTACGGGCAGGTTGGTTGTTCTCTCCAGACACAGTCGTTTGAGGGCTGGTCCTACTAGACATGCGTAGTGCTCCTGAAACCACACCCAAGGGAGGCGTTCAGTAATGAGTGTTCCTCTCTGACTCTAAATGTATGTTAGGATTTTCTGTGTAAATTTTGTGATTTAGAAAAGAAAATAAAAAGTGAGGTCCGTGAGGGATGAAATGTGACCGGAAGAAATTGTTCCCGTGAGGGAGAGGGAGAAGTATACCCAGGAGTAAGTGAATGTGCACAGTTACACAGCTGCAGTGATGTGGCCTGCGATGTCAGTAACTGCGTACTAGTTGAAGAAAACTTTGAGGAATCTAAGGTAATGTAATGTTATGCAAAAAAAAAAAAAAGCCCAGCTGAGAGCCAGAGGTTAAGGTGAGATCCCCACCTCTGCCGCAGGTCAGCTGGGTGACCCCAGTGCAAACCCCATCACTCCCCATCTGGTTCTGTTTCCACGGATGTCAAATGGGATTGTCAGTGGCCAGACACTCACTATGTCAACCACCTGCGCCCAGCATCAAAGCCCAACATGTTGGAAGCCGGTGTACGCCTGCCATTTCGCTGTTTTCTACATCTTACATCTTTTATGCTGTTTCTCCACTGCCTTCTTTTGTAGTAAGTGGATATTCTCTAGTATACCATTACTTCCTTTAATGATTTTTAACTTTTTTAAAGTTCTATCCTTAGCAGTTGCTCTAGGGATTACAATATACATATTTTCAGAATCTACTTTGGATTTATACTAATTAAATCCCAATAAGATGCAGACACTGCTGAAAAATAGCTTGTCCCTCACCCCTCTTTTGTGTCATTACTTCTTTTTTCTATATGTTACAAACCCAACCATACAGTGTTATTCTTATATAATCTCGTATTAAAAAGCTAAGAACAGAAAAAATATATTTATAGAAGTTTTTTAAAGTTAACTTTCTAATTTACCATTTTTAGTTTTTTTGACTTCTTTGTGTAGATTTGAGTTACCTGGTATATCACTAACGAAACGGATACGGTCAAAAGTCACCAGTCCTTACTCACTGTAGGTTGTTGGGATAATATCTACCCTACAGTTCCGTAAGACACCTGGTGTTTGCACAGCCCTTTATTGGGTTCAAAGTGCTTTTGCTGCTTGTGGTTCATCTCCTGAGACCCACAATCCCTTGTAAGCGAATGCAGGCAACATCTTGCTGGCCAGGAAGCCACTGAGGATTAATAAAATGATGCCTCTTTTCCTCTTCTCTTTCTGGGTAGCTGGGCTGCTACTCTGGCACCAGAACATTCTTCCAAAACAATATGAGTTAGTTTCAGAACACACCAGGCTATTGGGGCCAGGCAGTACTGCTCTTCAAAAGTTAGGTTAGCTCTAACTTGTCCACATCAACCGGCATCTGAGCTTTTCATGGCAACTTTTTACACCATGATCATGTGGCAGGATTTGAGAAGGGGGTGGGGAAGAGGAGTATATGTGTATGTGTGTATAGTCATGTACTGCACTGCAACATGTTGGTCAACAATGGACTGCATATATGATGGTGGCCGTATAAGATTATAATACTCTATTTTTACTGTACCTTTCTTTGTTTAGATACACAAATACCATTATGTTATAGTTGCCTACAGTATTCAGTACAGTAACATGCTGTGCAGGTTGGTAGCCTAGGAGCAATAGTATATACCATCTAGGTTTGTGTACACTCCATGGTGCTTGCACGTGGACAGAATCCCCCAACGACACATTTCTCAGAATGTATCCCCGTCGTTAAGCGATTCATGACTGTATCTCTCCCCGATATGTTAAGCCTTTCTTGGAAGCAGAGAGAAATAATGCTCATTACTTTTTAAAGCTTCCAAGCCTTTCCTTACAAAGCAGGGAATGCCTAACATGGCACAAGACAGAAGGCAATGCAGGAAGACAGGCCAGGCCCTTGGCCTGGGGACTCTGGACAATCAATGTGTCTGCGTTTCTTGGAGACTTTGTATCATATCCTCAGAGTGGACTTTCTAGAAATTGGCATTCATCCCCTGCAACAAATACCCACAAAAGCCTGTATTCTAATCTCCCTGAGCCAACTAAAGAGTGTTTGAAACTTGCCGTAACTGCTCAGGGAATGTGCTTTCTTTCAGCGTCCCAACTGATACAGGTCCCTGTAACTAAGTCAAACAAACCTTGAGGACTCTATGCAAGCAGTCCTCACAGGGTAGGCAGCCCTGGGAGGGGTGAGGGTGATGGGGAGGGCCGGGCACCTCCGGGCAGCAGCCTGCCTGCCCAGGGCACCTTAGTCATAGGGGCAGCACTGTGCAGAGAGGTGTCCCTGAGGGTAGGAAGGACGCACCTGCCACCTCCACACACCTCACCAAGGCAGATGTGGCAACTCCCTACAGCCAACACAACTCTGAGGATACAAAAACTTGCACAGCAATGTTCATATTCACAGTCGCCAAAACGTGGAAACAACCCAAATGTCCATCAACTGATGAACGGATAAACAAAATGTGCTCTGTCCATTCAATGCAATATTATTTAGCCATAAAACGAAATGAAATAATGGTTCAGGCTACGAAACAGATGACTTTTGGAAAATTATGCTAAATGAAAGAAACTAGTTGTAAAAGGCCACATGTTGCATGATTCCGTTTATATGAAACATCTGAACAGAAGGATCCGTTGCAACAGCAAGCAGATTAGTGATTGCCTACAGTTTGGGAGGCAGGGGGAGTGGCTAGATTTGGGAAGTGATGGCTAAGGCGTGTGGGGTTTTTTAGGTAATGAAAATATTCTAAAACTGATTGTGGTGATAGTAGCACAACATTGCAAATACACTAAAACAATTGAATTGTACACTTAAAGATGGTGAAGTTTATAATACTTTTGTAAATGTTAAAAAAACACCATATGGAGATAATGTGTGTAAGCAAACATACCAATTATCACTGTTTACTAATACTATGGGATTGGAGTTTTGCTCTTTCACGCTATTTTTTCATTTCCTTTCTCCCCTCCTCACACCACCAGCTTCTCCAAAGCTGCCACAGGGAACCATGCACATGTAGGATGGGGGTGCAATCTCACCATAGAATAATTAACATTGACTTCCTAACGCTGAGACCAAGGTGTGGCAGTCAGGGCTCTTAGCTGCAAACTGGAGCATGAAACTGGCTGATTTAGCAGAAATGGAAATTACCAGAAGGATGGCTCAGAGCACAGAGAATTGCTGAGAAGGTAGAAAGCTGAATCGGGAGTTTGGGGGGAAAAATAATCTTAACTGTCATAGGATCTTAAATGTTAAGTTTTCTAGCCTAAATTCCAAAGGTCAAAACAACCAACTTTTTAATCTTTAACCTGAAACGAAGCACCAGAAATGACTACTATTCTCCCTGGAAAAAGAGGACAGAAGGAGTTTGGGAGGAATGCAGGAAAGAAAAAAAATGTAACCACAACCCTCAGACTAGCGAGATGCAGCACAACAGTAAGACTGCCATTCCACCTACAGAACACATAACCCCTGCCAGATTACTTACCTGGCAGTGAAGATGCACTCCTGATACACCTGTTCAGTAACTGGCTCAGAGGCTCTCCCAGCATCCCCAGGGAGTCACGGGGGATTCCTTGGCACTGCAGCCTCTGGTTCCGCTCAATGCTCTACTTCCCTCACACTCGCAGCTGAGCCCTCCTCTCCACCCTGCGTGGACTCACGCAGAACAAAGACCCTTTTGTTTCCCCACATCCCACTCATTCAAGGTTGTCATGAGGAAGTGACTTTGCCTGGCAGTTTTTAGGGTTGGTACATCACAGCCCAGTAGATCTAGTCCTTAAAGTCTCCGAGCCATTCCCCTGCCGGCTACACCCAACAAGGACCCAACGCCAGCTGTGCACTGATGAAATAGCTGCCCCCACCTGGACTACAGTTCTTCAGCCTTTCTCCCTAGCTCACTGGTTGGCTGCAGAGAGGACAGCTCAGCCACTTCTTTATCACTGCCAGCCCACCCTGACCATGCCCTCGGTGGTCTCTTTCAACAACGAAAATGGCCCCATCAAGGGTGTGTGCTGAACAGTTGTCTCTGTGGAATCCCACTGCCCAATCTTACCAGCTGACCATTTTTCTTCCTGCTAATCTAACTCATATAAATGAAACACAGAAGACCCCTAGAAGAGTTACCATGTCAATCAATAAGAAGCCTCTTATTCAGCCCAAGTTCAGAGGAGAGGCGGTAAAGTGAAAAGTTGCTTTCATGTCCTTCCAATTTGCATTCCGTCACTCATTACTTAAATAAAAATCTTTAAAAAAAGAAACACAGCTTGTCCACTGGGCACAATAGCTCATGCCTATAATCTCAGCACTTGGAGAGGCCCAGGAGAGAAGATCGCTTGAGGCCATGAGTTTGAGACCAGCCTGGGAAACAAAGCAAGACTCTGTCTCTACAAAAACTTTTTTAAAAAAATCGGCCAGGCATAGTGGTTTGTGCCTGTAGTCCCAGCTACTAGGGAGGCTGAGGGAGGCTGAGGCGGGAGCATCCCTTGAGCCCAGGAGTTACAGGTTACAGCGAGCTATGGTGGTACCACTACACTCCAGCCTGGGTGACAGACTAAAACCCTGTCTCTAAAAAACAAACAAAAAAAACCCAACTTGTGATTTTTGTACCCAGTTTTAACAATTCTTTGGACCACACCAAAGAAAAGGACCACACCAAAAAAAGAAAAACATCTATATATAAAATCTTTATTACAGGCAATATTGGTCCGTACACTACACAATACCAACAGTACAAGTTTAATCTTTCAAAATCATCATTTAAACAGCAAAAGACCAAGAAATAAAATTTGAGTCAACTGATTATTTTTCAAAATATTCTCAATGCACATTATCCTCAGTTCCCTTATTATAATGAAACATACAAATACAGAAAAATACCCCATTTAACATATACTAGTGTTAAATGGTTATTTGGCTTAAAATCTGGGTTAAGAAAATCCTTTTTAGCAACCTACATACAGATAAGTGGCAAACTTTATTATATTAAACAAATTCATTCCGCTAAAACATGTAAAGAATTTGATCCACCATGTGTTCTGATCCCAGTACAAGTGTTATATTCTCTTGCCGTCATGGTTCTTATATGAAGGACCAACTCAAAGAGCTGTCCTAGATATAACCTTATCCTCTTCCCCAACACACTTCATCCAAAAGTCTGTTCAACAGATGGCAACCGGGTAGCAGTCACTTCGCCATTTGATGCCAATGGTTCCGTGAGAGCGTGGCCAGACCTGTGAAACAGCCCATTTTCCTACCTACTGTGGGTTGCTGCTCAGGAGGAACGATATACGCCAATACAAGCAGAAAATCCGCAGCTCCTCTGCTACGTGCCTTAGAACACTTTCAATTTTTCTGGTCAATGCTCTGATTAGGTAACATACATAAAAGCCAGCATATTAGTTTAAATCTTTAAACAAAAAACTATATTTTCCAAAGTCATTATCATTTGGGGCAATTAAGTGATCTTTTCGGGCTTTGTTGAGCTTCATCTTTAGGGCATCTCTTCTTTCTTCCCATTCGTGAAGTTCAGCATTGCCATGTGCGAATTTACAGCTGCTTCCTTCTGTGCAGGTGCCGTTCATATACCTGTTAGGACAAGTCAGCTGGTGAGTATCCACAGGTTGTTTACAAAAAATCGCATCATGATTTTGAAAATGCATACTTCACTAGCTTTGTGAATTGCACACAACTTTTATTAGGAATCTCGAGCCTAGAAAAATGTTTTATAACCATGACATCCACAACAGAGAAATTAGTACTTTAAACCATTTAAATGTATTCAGTGAAAAGTACTTAATAGGGGGAAAAAAGACTACAGTCATTCCTGATGCAATGGAAAGAAATCAGGTGGCATTTGTTAGGTGTGGAGTTGAGGGGAGAGGAGAGAGGAGGAAGGTCTAGAGTGTAGCAGGAAGATTTGAGGCCGGGCGCGGTAGCTCACGCCTATAATCCTAGCTCTCTAGGAGGCCGAGGCGGGAGGATCGCTCGAGGTCAGGAGTTCGAGACCAGCCTGAGCAAGAGCAAACCCCCCCCCCCCCCGTCTCTACTAAAAAATAGAAAGAAATTATCTGGACAACTAAAAATATATAGAAAAATTAGCTGGGCATGGTGGCACATGCCTATAGTCCCAGCTACTCGGGAGGCTGAGGCAGGAGGATCACTTGAGCCCAGGGGTTTGAGGTTGCTGTGAACTAGGCTGACACCTCGGCACTCTAACCTGGGCAAGAGCGAGACTCTGTCTCAAAAAAAAAAAAAAAAATATTTGAGCGGGATTATAGTTTGTGTAGAGTGAGGGTTAGGAAAGGAGTGTAAAAAAGGCTTGGAGATAGGGAATTTTGGACCATTTTTTATTGTTTACTGTGACAAACTGTCTAGATTTTGTAATATGTTAAAATTAAAGGTTTTATTTTTGGGCTATTGTGAGTTATTGTTAAGTTTATAGTGTGGCTAAACTGTATTGTAGTAAAAGACAAGCTGTTTTGGCCAGATTTTTTCAGTAAGATTTAATGTTTTGAGATTTCGGAGGAGACGTTTTAAGGGGGTAATTTTAGGAGGAGTAGACTGGGAGTTTTTATGTCCCTGGATAGAGTAAGAGTTATTTGACGCCAATTGAGTGTCCCCAAAACCAGGGAAGGGCAGAGGAAAAGAGGGTTATCAATTGGAATAGGTGTTTCTGGATTTAACGATGCCTTAGGCCAAAAGGCTGGGGGTTGGATTTATCGGTGGGACTTTTGCGGGAAGAAGTGAGAGTAAGAGAGAGATCGGAGGAATCTGAGAGCGAGTTTGTGAGCTCCTACTTACCAGGAACAGGATGTTTTTAGGATGTAGATTTGAAGGTCAGTGAAGGAAGACCCGTGGAATTTTTTGAGGGACGAGAGTGAAAGAGATAGGAGGAATTTGAGAGCGAGTTTGTGAGCTCCTACTTACCAGGAACAGGATGTTTTTAGGATGTAGATTTGAAGGTCAGTGAAGGAAGACCCGTGGAATTTTTTGAGGGACGAGAGTGAAAGAGATAGGAGGAATTTGAGAGCGAGTTTGTGAGCTTTTATTTTTTGAGGACAAAACATGGATTGTGAAGGTCAGTAAAGGGAAGATCTGAGTCTCTGTCCAGTGTCTTTTTTTCCGATTGGTTTAGGAGGGTCCCGGTGGATAATTATCTAATTTTGGCCGAGTTAGAACATTTTGTCTATATTTTAGGACTAGAGACAAGTTAGAGGATTCCGTATGGCTCGGGACTTTTTTTAGTCACCTTGTCAGAGATAAGGGAGGTTATTTGCTTTGAGGGACTCTTTGATTAACTAAGGAGACTAGCCTTTCTTAATTTAGTTAAAGATCTATGGACATTTTATTGGTGATTTAGGGACTTAGCGGAAGGTAGGATTTGGGAGTTAGCCCAGGATGAGCTGTCACTGTCTGTTGTTTTTTGAGTTGTAAGGTTTGTCTGTTAGAGCCTTAGAAGTTGTGTCTATCCGGTGTGCCCGCTTGGGTTTTGGCATCAAATGTTCGGTCTGGAGCCGAGAGAGAGACATATGAAGTCTCGTGTATAGTAAAATGCTGTTTATTTTGAGCATCTGGGTGTAGATGGGTGGAGGCGAAAAAGCATCCACCCTGAGGGAGGGGAAAGTCTTGGGCTTTATAGAGGGTTTTTTCGGGGGGAGTGAGTCATATCTGTAGAGATAGGGGAGAGGGTAGCTTCGTCCTTATTAGGGGGGATAGGAATGCTGGTGTGGCCGCAGCTGTCTGTGGTCAAAGTTAAATTTATAAACCTGGACTCTCCAGACTCCTGCGGCTTTTGTTTCATAGGCTTTGATATTTTTTAGGTTCCCACCTGGAACAAACCTGACAGCATTAAGTAAAAAATGGCTTCAACAGTTTTCAGGATCACGTGGATCTAAATTTGGAAATTAAATATAGACAGCGATTTAACAAAATTGGGAGCAATTCAAAATTATCTAGTTTTTACTGAAACACTTTTTAAGAAAACTGAAACAAACGAGGGATACTATTACGTTAACGTTTTCCTTTGACCTAAGTTCTAGATTTACTCTTGAAATATAACTTAAAGGGGGCTGGGCGCGGTGGCTCACGCCTGTAATCCTAGCACTCTGGGAGGCCGAGGCGGGCGGATTGTTTGAGCTCAGGAGTTCGAAACCAGCCTGAGCAAG